GTGAAATAAAATGTTTCATTTACCTCATAATCTTTTACCTAATAAGCTCATTTAACAATATAAACACATATCAGCTAGCTGTTTTCATCACGACACATTGTTGACTTTAAGATCGATTCCTAGAAGCCTTTCCTCGTTCGCCACTTCTTCTAGCTCACTGTCCTCGCTCACACTTTCATCGGGTGTATTATATTCTTCTCCTCAAGCAATTTCCGGCTCAAATTGATAAAGAACAGCCATACTTCCATAGAGAAATTTGGTTGATTCAGCTCCAGCTATCCAACATGTTCCACTATCTGACGTCATCACACCTCATTCATCCCAAGCCATCAAATCCGCGATATTCCACAGGGAGCCCAGCTTAAGTCATTTCGCAACTTTGACGGACGATATCACCCCAAAAAATGCATTTCATGGAATTTTCATTTCGATTTTCAAAATCAACAAGGTTTGATGTACATTTTAAGCTATGATGTGTCTGGCACCTCAGAGTCCCTTTAAGTTAATTATTGCGATAAGAAACCTTTTAATGACTCTGGCATAATGAACAGATACCAGATAACAGAGTCAAAATTAGATTTTCATTCAGAGATTTCATCCGAACTGGTACTATATCTAATTTTGACTCTACTATCTGGTATTTTTTATATTTATCAAATTTTGTTCTGCAGTACTGGGGGAGCCATTGCAGGTACTGCTACTGCTACATCAGAAAAAGTTGCAGCACTTGAGCAAAAACTGTTTAAAACACAAGAAGAATTAACTGAATTACACAGATGGAAATCAGAGGTATGTGTAAAACAGGACTCTGGTAATGAAATTATCAAATAAAAATAAATGAACTGACTTCATAACACAGGTAGTGCAGGTCGTTATACAGCTCTATGTGAATCTATGTAGAATAGACCTTTCGTTCCTTGACCAAATATTCATTTACACAGGGTTAGCCTGAATTTAAAGTCAAAATATTTACAAATGACAATGGTAAATAACAACAACAAACAGTTTTTATTTCCACGAAAAAATATATAGATAAATAAATTGAATAAGTGATAAATATTGTGGGGGTGCAAGAGAACAACCTCAGAGGTTAAACAAGCTCTTACAAACAATGAACAATTTTGACATGATACAAACACTTTGAAATTCTGTGGACCTTCACTGGAACATATGAATATTCTGCAAAAAATTGAGGCTAACCCTGTGACTAAATATGTAGTCAAAGAACACAGAGGTATGTAATCAATTCAAAAACATTTTATTGGTGATTTTTATAATACTATTGTACACCAGATAAAATTATGTGCCTTGGGCTACCTGTGGCTCAGATATCAATGGTAGTTTTAACTTTGATTTTTATTCTTACATTTTTACAGCATGCTCAAAAAATAACAGAATTAAATAATACGATCAGACGGAAGGATGAAGAAATTATGCATAAAGATGGAAAGTAAGTACTTAAGTAATCCTCACTCACTACTAGAATGGCCAAAAGCAGCCAACTGGAAATGTGACATTTTTGCATTTCAATTACCTGTGTCATTTCTATGTGTTGAAAGATGTGGGCTATTGTTTTTTGGATCATTAACCAATCAGACTCTATCAACTGCTTTGATGTGTTATAAGTCCTCAATATCTGCTGAGGATATGTTTTTATTTTGAAATTGAGAAATAAAAAAAACCAAATTATGTTCCAGGAAGAGCCTGTGTTGTACCCTTTTAGCCTCTAGTAGTGAAAGAGTTAAAATTATTTTATTAAGCAATAAAATGAATATTTTGCTTTATTTTAATATAGCAGATTAAAAGTTCTGATTTCCAGAGCTTTCATATTGTTTCCATGCTATTTTTGTTCTTGTGATCAGCTAAAATGATTGTGGATGACACCTTTATTCATCACAATAAGTCAATGATTGAGCAGCAAAGATATATTTTTTCAGATTGCAAGAAGCTATCAGCAATCAATTGGCAATGAAGAATGAGTGTCTTAATCTGGGACAGACTATTGTAGATCTGGAAAAAAACAATGAGGTAAATAAAGTACATTCATGATCAGATAGAGTGAAGGTATTTAACCTGTGCAATAAAAGATATAGTCAACATGTAATAGTCAAATAGACACAAAAGAAAACAATGGAATTAGGGTCTACTTATGTGTATTAGCCTAATATCTATTGCACTGGTTTAGTGACTTCACTCTACCCAATGGATTATGAGTGAAATAAGAAAAGAGACAAAGATGATGTAAAACAAATCATAGTATGCACTGCATGTGTTCTTTCTTCCTCCACCTTTTAACCAAGTCAGATTTGACATAAATTTGACCAGGAAGTAGGAGAGATCCAATGTTACTCATACAGGTATAAGAATGAATAACATTGCATCCCACCTATCGTTATTCAATATTCATAGTCATTAATAATTATAATCATCATCATCATCATAAAAATATTAATCTATCAGCTATGCCCCATGTTCCTAAGTTTGTTCTCTAATGCTCTACAGCTTCCAGCGACATTTTCAAGCATTTTATAATTCTAAAATAAATATGTAAATCACAATTCTGTCTTGTGTATAGATGGTAAAGGATGAACTACAAGTATTACAACTAGAATATACTTCCTTAGATGAAAAGTTCAGAAAAATACAAGATGAAAATAGAGATTTGGTAGGTGTCTGTTTCAATTTATTTACAGTAGTACTGTAGGAAATATTTGTATTTGACAAATACCTCACATTAGCACTCGCCTCTGACTAAGGCAACCAGGACTAGCATTCTATATCAGTAGAGTTGTTTGTTAGTTCTCTACTGTGCTTCAAGGGTTTTTTGCCAGGTTCTCTGGTTTTCCTCTCTCCTCAAAAATCAACTTCTAGATTCCAATCAGAATCCAGTGGAAGAAGAGCCACTCTAGATCTGTGGAATCCACTGTTTATTCCCATTTATTCATTTTATATTACAGTGCACCTACTATAGCTGGGGCCACTTACACAACAAGAACCAATCAAATTGTAGAACAAAATCAATACATTCTGACTTTCGGTAGTGGAGTCAATCAATAATCAGCAGAAAATGATAGCCTTTCAACATATCTTTTTATTCCCACAAGAAAATAATGATGGCTCTTTAGTTGTTTACACAGAACACCAGGGTCAAATAACAATTCTCCTGCAGTCTAGGTTTCTGATTGGCTCTGTATGTATGGCTCTGTCGTACTAACTCTGGCTATGTATTTTGTTTTCATTTTACACTTTAATAGGTTTTCTTGTCTAACTGTCTAAGTGGCCCCAGTTACAGTAGTTGCACTGTAATATTGTTTATTTGATGTCACATACAGGTTGAAAGATGGATGATTCAGAAAGCAAGAGATGCTGATAAAGTTAATATGGAAAATGAATTTCAAGTCAGGTATAATGTCATTTTGTTTTATTAATTTTATGAATCTCCATTCTTAGGGACAAACTTTATCTTCATTACGTTTTGAAATAATAGGAAAGATCATGAACTGCAGGAGAGTGCAGGGGACCAAGTGAACATTTAACATTATTACTAAGCTATTATAATAGTTTAAGTTGAGCATTGTGTGCATAGAACTGAATGTTGTGGTTGTGTGTGTGAGTGAAAAGTGTCCCCAAATTAGTGCAAAAGTTGAAGTTGAGCATTGCGTGCATAGAACTGAATGTTGTGGTTGTGTGTGTGAGTGAAAAGTGTCCCCAAATTAGTGCAAAAGTTGAAGTTGAGCATTGCGTGCATAGAACTGAATGTTGTGGTTGTGTGTGTGAGTGAAAAGTGTCCCCAAATTAGTGCAAAAGCACTAGAAAGACTAGACACTTAAATAAAGATATTTAAGCCCGAGAATTTTGCTCAGTTACTGGAGGATTATCAGATCCTCGACCCTTAATACAAACACTGTTTATAAATATTTCTAGGACTAGACAAGCACAGCTGCAAAGAGAGTTATTAGAAGCTGCAAAAGAACCTGTCAATACGTAAGTAATAAACACTACTATTAATAGTTGTTTCCCTTTTGGTCCTCCCCCAACTTATAAAAAAACCTATTCTACAAACACCACTCCCCGTACGGGGCTCTTCCGTGAGGTATCCCCCATGCACACTACCACTACATTGTATATACCTCCTCCTCACTAAACAATAGACACGCTGAGGTCAATTTCCCCAAATTCCCAAAACCTTTAAGCAGCCTTATCCTAATATATCTATTTTAACTCAGTTTTGTTATTACCAATATCTTGTATATGGGCAGTGAGTGCATCTGATACATTTTTAAGAACCAGAAATTTTATTCACTCAGTGATACTATATTTCCAACATTTTCAAATGCCCATTCCTGCAATGTAAGCACAAAGATAGTACACARAAACCCAATGAACATTGTCTACCCACCCCACCCCACTCCTTGAACAAATAGCTGACAGTTATTGATACCTTAATAACGAGATATTGTTTCATTTTAGTAAACTGAGCTCTGCAGACATTAGTACCCCACATATACCATACTGCATCATAACTACCATCCCATCTTTCCCTCAAGCTAAATTCGTAAGTATACACTTTAGTTGTCAGATGCAGCTACTGGTTTTACTATTCATGAAGCTAGCTAGGTGGGCCACTAGTCCATAGCCCATAAGGGTGGGGCGGATCTAGGGGAGGGGTGTAGGTGATGACCACTCCCTCCCCCAGATGAGCTGATGATCATTTTATGGGGAATTACTTGATGTGGTGACTCATCAGATTGTTGTGATCATGAGTGGTTCACCCTCCTAAAAAAATTCCTGCATCCAATCATGTTAGAGACTGGTATCCATATGTTTTAGTATCATTTATATTTGTGTTTCAGGATGCTCATGATGGTGAGGTATTATCAGCTAAGTTCAGCGTATCAGGGCGACTGTTTGTGACAGGAGGCGGAGACAAGAAAGTTAAAGTCTGGGAAATAGTCAATGGTAGGTAACAAGAATATCAAATTAATTATAAATAATTAGGCATAATTTCCAAAACAGACCTATTACAGTGCAAATCGAAAAACTGTGGGCACCTAGAAATATTTCAAAAATGTTCAATAGGCAATCAGAAGTGTTATTGTTATCCTAACTTTATCTTGCGGTTAGAAAGTCAATTCTAATTGGCCAAAGAAGAATAAAACATTGCTAGAATATTTCAAGGTGCCCACGGTTTTTCTATTCACACTGTAATATGCGTAGTCATGCGACTAGGTTATTTCTGACGGCTCTTGGGTTATCATTTGTCCCTGCCAAACTTCTGAGGATCATATGGGTACTTCAAAACTAAGGTGAATTTTTGTTTATTTTTTACAGACGCTTGCCTGCCAAAAGGAACTATGCATGGTTGTTCTTACGCTGTTACATCAGTTCAATTTGATATTCAAGTAAGTCAAGCAACTGCATGCGTCTATGCATACTAATGCCACTGAATAGCCACTAAAAGATTGTCCTATATTTTTATTCTATTATTGCAGGAAAAACTTATATTAGCAGCTTCTAATGACCATGCATGTCGTGTGTGGACTGTTGGAGATGAAAGATTAAGAGTAAGTGTCTTAACTTTGCATAGCCCACAAAACGGCCCTCCAAAGTGGGTCTGGGTACGAGAATGTGAAGTGATAATTTTGTAAAATAGCAATATAATAAAAATAATAAGTAATAAAAAAAAATTAGAAAAGTGGGCTATAACTGTGCCTTGTATTTTCAGCTTTGTAGTAGAAAACAGTCAGGAAAATTCCTAATTTTATTTGTTCATATGACAGCATACACTGACAGGTCATCAAAACAAGGTGATGACAGCAAAATTTATGGGCGATTCAACAAAAGTTGTATCAGGAAGTCATGACAGGACACTAAAGATATGGGACCTCCGGAGCAAAGCTTGTAAGTTGATAACAGGGGTTTGACCAAAGAATTATTTTATTACAACCTAGCTTTGGACCTCTGCAGATATCTTCAGCGCTAACAATTTTTCCACAAACCAGGGGTAAAGAGAGGTCTCGATTATTCGGGGGGAGGGGGGTTGGGGCAATGTACCATTTTCCTGCCAAATCCACAGGAATCCTGCATGAATTGATTAAATTTTGCTGCCAAAATCAAACTTGGAGGGGGGGGGTGCACATGCCCCCCAGTAACCCAATTCTCCTCCTATTTTCCTCCCTCTATGTGTCTTGGGTGGAAAGGAATGAGAAGCTCTGATGGATTTCTGACAGAAGTGGGGTAAATTTTATATTTTACTCAATCATGTTACTATGTTCGCAGGTATAAAAACGATATTTGCAGGATCAAGCTGTAATGATTTGGTAATTAATGAAGTTATAGGGTAAGTTTGGTACCAAATTACAGAGTAGGCTGTGCCATAACAATGATTACACAACCCCACTCAAACTGCAATCAACCCCTATAATGGTTTAGTTTACTATGCTAATTTTTGATTAAATGTCTTATCTAACACCAGTTTCATTAATTTACAGGAGTCAAATAATTAGTGGACATTTCGATAAAAGAGTAAGATTCTGGGATACAAGGTGAATATATATTAATAGCTTGATTCAGCATCTGATTGCTCAATGTAATTTTTGTTATTTTGGTCGCTAGATAAATGTATTTTATAATTGGGGTTTTATAGATCAGAATCAAATGTTGGAGAAATCTCACTGCAAGGCAAAGTAACCTCGCTGGACCTTTCACCAGGTAATGAATGCATGATCGAAAGAATGAATGAATGAAAAAATGAATGATAAACGAATGGATGGAGGGATGATAATCAAGGAATGAATAAATGAATGGATAAATGGATGGATGGACAGATGATAATAAATGAACGAATGAATGGATGGAGGGGCAGATGATAAATAAATGAATTAAAAAACCGATATTTTAGCATTTATACTGTTTATTTTGTCGTAGATATGAATCAAGTCCTTGCTAGTACACGTGACGACACAGTTAAAGTAATAGATTTACGGATGAGTCAAGTAGTATCAACATTCAGGTACCAAGTGCAATCCTTATGCGGGTTTTCTTTTCTATCCTCCTTTTCACTTACCTTATTTTATTGTTAATAGTGCAGAGGGGTTCCGACTTGCAACAGACTGGACAAGAGCATGCTTCAGGTAGAAATTAATCAAATTGATTTTTTGCTTTTGTAATCAAAAAGAGTATTGGAAATTTGATTGACAGAAGCCAAAAACCTGCCAGTAGATATCCTAAATTAAAGCTTTTAAGGTGTCTGTGTGGTGTATTGATGAAAACATGTATTATATTATAATGATTAACAATAATTATTATTCGCCAAAGTGAATATCATCTCATAATCACAGGTCTCTTGACCAATCACAGCGCATCAAACTCTATATTTAAGTCTAAAATCATACTAAAATACAATACTAAATGAATGAAGATATCAAGTCCAACCTTGTCTTGGAATCATTGTTTGGCCAGGTCACTTATATGTGAATATGGAAAAGGTTTATCATGATATGCTATCTAAGCTTGATATTATATGCTGTGATTTTGTGAATTATAGTCCAGATGGGCAGTACGCGATATGTGGCTCACAAGATGGTGGTGTCTACATTTGGAATAATTCTACAGGAAAACTGGAAAAAGTTTTAAAAGAACATGGGTAAGTGATATGATCAAATAAATATGTGGCTGATGAATTGCCCATGGTAAAATAAAGATTATCTATTTATCCATCTATCTATCTATCTACTTCCACACCATGGCAGCACCATGTCATACTGATCGATCATATTTTTTAGTTCGGCAGTTATCGTAGCAGCATGGCATCCATCTGGTTCAAACATTATCAGCTGCGACAGAAACAAAAGAGCAGTGGTGTGGACAAGCAGATATGGTTGACCACAGGATATATGGCCTGAAACTAAGCTGCCTTGTTAATGAAATTGTACATATTTGTTGCAAAATACTGTACAGTTTCTGTACTTAATGCTGTTTATAGATTTTCATGCATGGGTTAGGGTTTATAATTGACATTGGACTAGCTAGGCGGGTCTATGTCAGCTGTAAAGGCTGATATTTTCCCAATTATTGTATAGTTTTGTAAAATATTCCAACCTCTCCTACATGGATAGAGAATGACATCCACAGTCTCTAACCCAAGATCACTCAATAAAAAAGCTACTAGAATATCCTAATCACTCTATTATCCCTGTCCCACCTTTATTTGAAGTTTTGTCAATATATTCTGGTACTGCACTTTAGCTCTACGGGGGTTAGGGTTGTATGTAAACCTCTATAAATTTCAAATTCTGTATCTAAAGGAATAGCAGAGGATACCTCAGCACAGTTTATGGTAGTTTATGTGCAGTACAACCAAATAAATGATAAATGCTTGAATAAAAACAGCCAAGTTCTCTGGATAATTCCGTTCTCCTTATAGAGTGCAAACTGTCAAATTTGTGAACAAAATAACTTGTAATGGTAATAATGATAGTCAAATAGAAACAAGGGAATAATAGAACACAAAAATGTTAATGTTATGAGATCTACTAATCTTATTCACAAGTTAAGTAAAACCACTCTAGGTATACAGTACTGCTACTTAATTAGATTGAGTAAAGGCATTTAACTTGTGAAACAAGAAATACTAGTCAATGTGTATTAGTCAAATAGACACCTTGGAATTAGGGTCTACTAATTTGTATTAGTCTATTATCAATGTTACTGACTGGTTTAATGACTTCACTCTATGGTGTTTGCACTCTAATTACCTCCATATTAATTAATTTTATGGTAATATTTTGTATTACAATAACTTTCAATTTAAAATAATGCAGAATACATGTATGTCTAAATTATGTCCAAGTTCTAAGTTCACTAGATAGGTAGGCAGTACGTTATAATGATGTTACATCGAATCAGACAAGCAAACCCAAAACATCTTTTGGCTGTACTTTTAATGCATAGTGCAGATTTAATGACTGTGAAAAGTTCAGTTCCGTGCCGCAACTGTGATGTTTCCTAGAATTTTGATTGACTTTCTTTTCTCTTGCTCAATGTGATTTGTCTAGCAGTGCCGTGTCCTTGTTGTGACTGTGTCTGCATCGTGTTCGTGACGTGTTTCGTGCATTTGATTGGATGAAGAGATGTTTTTTAGATTTTTGATGGGCTGGGTCTTTGCCGTGGCTGTGTTTGTGCCGTGACCTTTTCACAGTCATATGAAAACTGCTCTATGCTCCCAAGCGGTTGTAATATTAATTATCAATGTAATATTCCTAGAAAATAAAGGCTTTTACTGAAATTTATAAAATAACAGGTATAAATCTTGTGTTCTGATTTGTTGGGAGCTCATGCTTTATGAGAGCACACGTTCGCACTTTCAGTTGTGTCATTGGCAAAACACTCATGTTTCTTCTAACATTAGACCTACTCATTAGGAGTTTGCAATGAAGTGCCCTAATCTTTAGGTCTTTTAAAATAATCCAACATTGAACTCCCCTAATCAATTGGGTACTTGAAGAATGATTATGTCGGCTGCCTTAGGAGGCCAATTTGTTATGTCAAATAATGAGGTCGCAATTAAAAACTAGGGTCAGAATTAAGTAAAGAGGTGTTTTTATCTCGTGTTCTGCCATCCCCAATTTTTTTTTAGGTATAATGTATATGATTTGTGAGAAAATATGCAGACTGCAGTTTTTATTTCTTTAGTCATGAAATGCTTCACTAAAATCTTTGAGATGAAAGAGTTATGTCTGGTCTATGATTGGTCACTGTGTTCAGCTGGTATATTTTCCTTTAAATAACCCTAACCCTAAACCTATTTAGAGGAAATTATACCAGCTGAACGCAGGCTAGGGATTCTTAAGCCTGGATCATACAGAAATGCAAGCAACGTTCAAATGTAAAACACACCATTTCAATAGTTTTTTAAACAAAACATTTGCAATGAAGTAGCACATAGTAGAGGGCATACCATATATCTGTAGAAATCTTTGTAAAAAATTTCACAAATTTTCTCAAATTAGTAAGTTCAGTAAACCATAGACCTACAAAACTTTGCACTAATTATACAATTTTGTTGGTTAATTTTTTCATGGATATAATATATTATACCATATTATGGTAGTTACACACTCTGGTAGATGCGAGCATCATTGTCCACATGACTGGTTGCAATGGTTTTGGTAAGATATATAACTAATACTTTAGCTTTATTTGATGTGTATACCAATATCTCTTACTTTGCAACATTTTAAAACTCCATTGATCAACATACATCACAAATGTATTATTTAATATTTACAATTAACTCCTATTTCTCAAGTATAGTATAGAATAATATCTACCATATTTCCCTTGTTTTTTTTTAAGAAAATAAAATAAATTACTGATAAAAAGCAATTAAAATGGTTTTCAGGGTGATGCATGTCCCAATGAAAATAGACCCTTTAATTCCCGAGTTGACCCATTTGAGTGACCACCAAATAACAGCTCTGGGTTAAGGCTGGACTTTACTGCATTTTATCAAGTTCAGCTCTATATCAAAACCATCGCTTCATGGTCATTCAGGGTATAAAATAATGGCCGGTCATCAGACTATGTCCAAACAGAATAGAGCTTTTTATTGATATAGTGGCCATCTTGAATTATGGGATGCTGAGGGGGCAAATGCTTCCATATAGAAAATTTATAAAGCATAAGGTGTGTGTGTGAGTGAGTGAGTGAGTGGCAGGATTCTGTTTTCAAATAACTTGAGTCCTTGGGGTTTTTTAGATGTGCTTCTCATTGAAAAGCATCATTAATTATATAAAAAGAAATCCCGACATCTGTGCAGTCTATGAATTTTCCAACATTGCCCCCCCCCCCCTGGCAACCCATGTCTTGATTAAAACAATACAATTTAAGATGGGACTTGTCTGCTCAAATCTTTGCCTCGCCCATCATTTTGACCTGTAACTTTGAGCCAGAAAGAAATGGGACTGACTAAATGGCTGTTGATCATGATAATCACTCCAGTGAATAGTAAAAGTTGAAACTGACAATAATATTTTTAGGGTTTCTGATATATTCTAATGACTTGGTTGACCTTGATTATCATTTGGACCTTGGCTACCACCATGGTCTTCAGTATGATGATGGTGGTGCTTATGGGAACATTTTTTCTTGTGACCAGTACAGTAAGCATTGTGTGGGCAGCCACCATCTGAATCACTATCAGATGAGGAGGAGGAGGATTCACCAAATATTTTTGGTTTACTGTAGATACAGCAGCCTAACGAATAAAACATACATAGTAGAATGAAATGATTTCATTCAAAAGAAACTCTGAAAAATCACATTCTTTTAACATAACTATATAACAATGAAATGTTTATGGAAATGTGCATTGGTTGGTTGGGAATTGTGGAATTATTGTGACAAGACCTGACCAGGCCGACACCCACGTTCTAATGGCCTAAGGCCTTCTCTCTCCAGATTAAGTATTATCCCCTATCGTATTATTTCCTATATTCCAATTCCAGACCATGTGCTGTTGTCTTGAGAATAAGATTCTGCATTTGATTCAAATCCGTATTCATGTGTCTTATCATGTACAACCATTCAATAATGAATTGAAAGGATAATGATGTGGTACCATATGAAATGGGAAAATATTACATACTAGTTTAAAGGGTCTATTAATAGTATCAGTACAGATGTGGCTCAAACGAAAAATATTAACCTCAAAGAAATAAAAATGGTCAGAAATGGGAATCATTTATATATCTAAGCTAAATGGGAGATCAGCTACAAGTTAGGGGATGTTTGAAGTGTTCTATGCTAACGCATGAGAACTCAAGTGAATAAGCTTACATTTTGACTTCTTCTTGTCCATGTGTTCGTTGTCTACAGTCTTTGTATCCCATTGTACTTTCTTGTCATTCTTAGGCTTTTTTAGCTTCAATAACAACCTTTGTTGCTACAAATAATAAGTTGTCACATTTAGACATAAGTTTTACACTGTTATATAAAATGTTTAACTATAAATACTTAAAACATCAATACAAAAGATATGTTTCGAAAAAAAATCTCTTAGACTGCGAAAAACCACTTGTATTAATGCATGAACTAAATTCTTAAATCCAAAATCTTCATTTTGAAGACAATTTTCTACAAGAAACTTACCGTGGCTGGGCTGTATGCTTCTTCTGTTACCGTCACAGACGACGTACTACCCTCAGAAGTCCCCTCCATGTCTTTTATTATCTCTTTATTAGCTTTTTCGTGGGTTTATTAGAGGAAAAGTCGTAATAATCATCGACATAATAAATATACCTTTTTCGCTTGAAAAACTACGAAGTAATGCTATAGGACTGGACTCGCGCGGTCAATTATAACATAGGCAACCCAAATAAGATATGACGTATTTCCGGGTCCAACTTCTCACAAAAACCGCGAAAATAGGAGGAAAAATCTTCTCAGCGATTTATCCTCCATCAGAAGCAATAGAGATTTTGGACAAAAAATCCTTACATGAAAAAAAAAACGAAAGAAAAATCTGTTTTTCGTTTTGGATTCCATAACCACATGACGTCACAGTAAAAGTTTTAGTTGGAACCCGAATTGGAACTAACGGGGGTCCCCTGAAACGTATTTTGTTTACCTGAGATGTTTATTATATTATGGCGCAGTTTACAGAAAAAAATTGCTGCGATTTTTTAACCAGAAAAGATCAGCAAGACCTCTATGAACTACTAGGATGTGACGAGCTAAATAGTAAAGAACAAATTAATGCGGAATTTAAGAGAAAAGCTTTACAGTTTCACCCGGACAAGAACAGAAACAAAGAAGATGGCAATGAAGACGAAGCTCATCAAATGTTTGAAAGGTTATTTAGTGTTTAGTACTTGAATGGTTTTAGATCGACGAGAAAGAAATTTTCCTAACTTTTAACTGATACTTTTATTGTTCAGAAGTTTAATATGGTTTAGAAAATCGTGATTTTTTTGAGTGAAATTTTCGATGTTCGACGACCAAAACAAATGGTTTCTATATTTGGACATCGAGTAGGCGTTTTGTAGGAGTGTTTGTTTCGCTCGGGGAATTTGTCCTCAAAACTCATTTAATTTTCTATTTTCAGGTTAAAGAAGGCTCGTGATATCCTATGCGATGATAGCAACAGGAGACAGTATGATTACTGGAGGAGAATTGGTCTTCAAGATTATGTAACGTTTGATGAATGGATGGAAAAGAGTTCTCATATGCAGGCCTCCATTCACTGGGCACCGAAAGCACCAAAGAAGTACATGCTAGCAGGTATTATAAAATAACTGCTATAAATTTCGCATTCTGATTGTTTGGGAGAGTATGATTTATTTTATTCAATAGAGGGGAGATAAGATTTTTTCGTATGGGCGACCAAGCAAATCCAATCTCAATTTCCCTGATAAAAAAATGAATGGTCCGTTAATAGTGACTCCCTACCAACTACCCCATTACTTCAGTCTTAGGATATGATAATAACAGTCTCAGAATAACTAGCTTTTCTATGTTAGATACGGAACATGCCCATACCCTGTGCAAAGAAAACACTAAAGACCAAGATGAGAGCAACAACACTTCAAGGTTCTTCAGGAAATATTCACCTTATGCCAGAACCGGTTGGGGACCCAAGAGCCACTTGATTAGAAAGTTCCAAAATTATGAGATTTAGAATATATTTGCAGTATGCAAGGCATCCATTCCAGTGTATATAAATAGACAGTTCTATACATATTCATAACATAACATCAGTATTTTCATATGAGAAGTAATAGCAGTAGAATTTGAAGATTAAAAAAAAATAAAACTACTAAACTATGGAAAACTTTTGTTTTTGCTGTTTTTAAAACAGTTAGCTGCAATATTTAGCACTAACAGAGGTATTTTACCATTGAAATAAGACAGTGTGCTCATGAATTATATATTTACATTTTTTATGTCATTTATTTCAATTTCACGGTAGAGTGCATTGTAGGAATACCATCCAAATATTTCTACATGATAACACTTTAATCATGCACACTTAGAAAATGCACACTGTTAATTATCCCTCAAGCCAATCAATAATTTCTGATTATTGGAAATAAAATAATGATCACTGGGTAGTCTCCTCCCAGCCTTCTCCGGTCCCTGAGATTAATGAAGGCTGCGGAGTAGGCTTATCATTTAGAGGGTGTGAAACATTAGAAAGTTCAGGTAATGATAACCTGAAAAAAACTCACGGTTTGAGTGTCCTCACTGTAACACTGAATAAATGTTCAAAATACTTTTCAGTTATGAGATATAATCCATACTAAAAGCAATGGATGCCCTGTTCAGAGCCTCTCCAATGGTAATAGCTGCTAAGATTTCAACACCAACCTCATATAAACCTGCTTCCTCACAAATACTAACCACCTCTAACCATTTGTCAGCATTCATTTCATTGTCATCTGCCTCATACAAAATTCTGTTGACTATGGACGATAGACTTAGCCTATCATAGCTTGACAGTCTTTTCAAAACTGCAACAAGTTGACTATGGTTTTCTTTGTCAAGAAGTGCTGACACAACAGCTGCAAAGCTGAGAACATGAGAATTCTTTTTGTGTCCCTTTGTTGTCAACATCAGCTGGGCAAGTTCAGTTGATGGATTAGATTTCAAAAGGTTCTTGTAATCTTCACTTTCAAAGTTACCATGCTTCTTGGTATAATGGAGGAGGGTTATGTACTTTCCTTGTTTGCAAAGGCATTTTGCTGCTCGGCTGTGTGCATTGACTTGCATGAATACTGTCTGTGCAAGAGGTAAGCAGGTACAGGTGCATGTCTTGGGGCAATTGCAATGCTCTGCAAGAACTTCACCAAGGGGAATAGAATAAGACAGTTTACCCTGTGCTAACCAGTGTGTGGCCAAATCAAGACGGTTTTCAGATAAAGCACATCTTATGCATTCTACTGACATGGCCTGTGTCAGAGGCTGAGCTGCACTAGCTGTTGCCATGAGTGCATCACAGAAAGTTAACAATGGTGTCTGGCCTCCTTCAACAGTATCAGCTTGTTTGAAACGAATAAGAGTTTCATAATTTCTTAAAATCCCAAAAGGAGAATTAGCTGCATGAATAGCTGCAGCTTCATATTGTCCAAAATCAAAGAGGTTGTTGAAGTGGTCACAGTAGTCAATCAGTCTTTCAGCCTCTTTCTTCTTGATAGGATCATCGTCATCAAAAGTTAGAAACTGTTGCAATGCATTGCTCTGTTTGCCATACTTTGTCTTTCCATACTCCGAAAGTGCTTTCACTGCCACACTATAAAGGTGGACATCTTTGTCAGGATTTTTTAAGGCCTTCTTGGATGCCTGAAAAATATGGAAATTAAACAAAGTTTAATTCATATTTTCCAATTTGATTGAAATCTTTGGGAATAGTATAAAATTAGTAAAGGGGAAGCATAACAGGGCTGTTGCTAGGAGTGGTTCGATGGTTTGAATGAGCCCCCCACCTCCCTCTCCACCTTTGTAGCAGTATGAAATAACGTTTAGTGCCATAATCGTTTTTCAAGTTTTTCACCTACTCTTTCAAGGTCCTAACAACAGGCCTGCATAGTTAAGGGATGAGAAAAAAATGTGGCAGACTTGAAATTCTACTGAAAGTGGAGACATGAAATTGGGTGAAAGTGACTCTACTCAATATCCAGTTATGTTGGAGGAGTACAGCTCAGGACAGCACTGTACCTTGACCTTGACCCTCAATCATCAAAGTTTATGATATGTAATAAATAATTATCTCTCAATCTTAACTCTCAGTCATGCTCCCTGTGTGTACCTTACATGTCCCACACTTTAACTCCAATAACCATTAAAGACACTGTTGCTTACCTCTACGACAACTTTAAGTACATCACATCTTTCCTTCAACTTGGCATTTACATCATTCAGACCTACTAAATACTCTTCCTTTTGTGTTATCTTATTTTTCAGAGCCATTTTACGATCCCTCTCAACAAATTTTGTCCCACTTGCATTTTGAAGCTCAATAACTTGTGAATCAAGCTTGGCAAGAGTTCTTTTCAACGTTGGAATGTCTGTAAGTTCTTCCAAGGAAAGCCCTGGGATAGTCTTCTTGATATGTTTTTTCACTGCTCCTAAAGATTTCGCTTCTGCGGAAGCTATTCTCCTTGCTCTTTCGCTCTGATAAGCATGGATTCTTCCTCTTAAACTTGAATTGAAATTCCTAAGTTTTTCCACCTTTTCTTCCAATTCATCTCCTCGACGAATAAAGTGCCTCAACGTAGATTTTTCCACCATCAAGGCTTTAACCATCCCTTGTAAGTAAACAGACTGACTTTTGCCTTTTTCAAGCGCCTCAATACAGTCTTCAAACTCAGCTTTAATCTTAGAGAGAATCGGTTTGTACACCACAGCTTTGCTATCAACCAGCTGATCAAACGCATGTTTATGTACGATGTAATTGTCATGGCGCGTTGTATCCGGGTGAAAATTCAAGCGACGTAGTTCATCTTCGATATACTTCTCGATATCCGATACATCGCTCGAAGGCACAGTTTGCTGAATTCGAATCTTTTTTCTCGTAGAAAATCGAGTAATCGAATCCATAGAACGAGTTCTTTCGTGAGAAGGCATTCGAATCGAATCCATATACTAATTTACGTCAAAAAGAACGACTTCCTTTTTCAAAAAATATTTTGATATTGAGTATAAAATGTCGATAAACTTAATAGCAAACTTTTATAATATGAAGAAAGCCATGTCGGTGTAAGTCAGGAAGCCATTTTGCAGCTGTAGATATTCTTGTTAATGTTGCTAAGGATACCATTCTGTTGTTGAGGAATAAAAGAACAATCGTAATTACCAATCCACAGGAAGCCCAACTTTTGTTACTGACTATAACAACGATAAAAACTGATCAATACACATAAAACAATGTATTCTTCATTCGTGAGACAACACAAATGATAGTCATAAGATAAAAACAATTTAATACGAGTTTGTTCCGGGTTTTATTTTATCATTTTGCATTATTTTGTGATCCTGGGCTTCCTTTGGTTAATTATTCAACTCGCAACTAATGATGGGACATTTGAGCAGGAAATTATTCTTGTCTATTTTGTAAAAGAGCATCAAAAAGACACTCTTTAAAAATGACCGCCGAAGAAACCAAAGATGCGATCCCTGAATTCTCTTCTGAACCCTCGGAAGCCGAAAAACAGATGAGTTTCAAAGAGAAATTGGCCCTGATAGACAACGAAGTTCGAGAACTGTACGACTTTTGCGTCAAAGCGGGTTACTCTCCTGCCCAGATAGAAAAGTGTGCTGAACCAATTCTTGTTGTTGATAAGACTGAAAGTAAAAAGAAATGGCTCAAAAGGCTAGCATTTATCCTTTTGATAGTTGCTTTTATTGCTACTCTCTTTCTTTACGAGCCGGCTTACGATAAGGCCAGTATTTATTGTAAACTTGTAGCATTAAAGGTAAGTTCTCTTCTAGTCTACAACACAAATATGTGTATGTATAATACTGTAGTATTCAAAGAATGGATGGTTTTCTTTTTAGATTCTTCCATATTGGGACTGGCGATATCTCTATGAAGAAGACTGCTTGATAATCAACCCATACCGTGTTGAGGAAGGTATCTCAGAAGAAGACTGTGAAACAAAATGCAGTGAGCTCAATAGGATAGAAGTCTTGACAAATACTAACCACAAAATCATAGCTGATCTTCTGTTCAAAGATATTCCTGTTGTTATCAAGGATGCTACTGATGACTGGAGTGCACGGAAGAAATTCAGTGTAGAATTCCTAGCTCAGGTTCAATTCACAGTCATAATTGATATTAGAGAGTCCTATTTTAAAAGGGGGAGTGTGGGTGTAGGTTTCCAATCCCATTTCCCACAATTTTTTTTAAGATTCCACTTTCCAGCATCGAAACCCAAACTTCTTTTTAAAAAAATTCCATTCCCAGTGACCTAAATCCCATTTTCCCAGAACAAAATAGGCAAATCCCATTTTCAATTTCCCCCCTTCATGACCCTATTATAGTAAGATGAACATTTTTGTCAACAAAGAAGAACATGTACCATTCATACTATATGCTATGACTGTGGGGCATAAGCATTCATGTTACGTGAAATTCTTTTTTCAATTCTATTCTTTTTTTTTTTTGTTTCTCTTACAGTTATTTCAAGAGAGAGAAGTACTTAGTGAGTCTGGTGTTTGCCAATTCCAGTCTACTGTTGAGGGCTATAGTCATCCTGTATCTTTCTTGGAAGATGTAGTTGAAGGAAAAATTGAAGGCAGCTATCAGGCATACTGGTTGGTGCTCTGGCTCATAATTATTAATTTTACAAATGAGGGATTGGTTTCATAACAGCTATATTGAAAAGAATTTCTCCATTTGGAGAAAGAAAATCTCTTGCAAAAATAGTGCATTGTTACTTCTCTATGGCATGGCTGTCACAAAACCACTTTATTATTGATTTCATCAGTCTCCTTTGCAGCCATCTTTAGGCTTGGTATTGAGAGGGATATTTGAATCGAGTCTAAAAATGTTGAAATGAGGGCTAAATAAATTTGTTTTTCGCATGAACTTCAGGGAAAACTGTGAAAAGAAAGCTGCAAGAGAGTTCAGACAGTTCTATAGACGACCATATTTTCTGCCACCAATGGTAGAAGCAGATGAAGGCAACTGGATGATCGTCTCATCAGGAGGTTCAAAGTCACTTAGGGTAAATATTCTGGAATGTTTCATAAAAGTTTAGAGCTGGTTTTACTGAAATTTGAATCTATCTTATTATTTCAGGTATCATGGGCTTCAACCATCACCTGGCTTTCACAGGTATAGCTTAGTTACCAAAATATGCCAACATCACCAAAATATGCAGTCTTGATGTAATGAATGTTGTGCTAACTCTAAGTTTTTTCATCCCCTGAACAAGATAACTGGCCAGAGTCGCATTCTTCTAAGGCCTGATCCAGTTTGTAAGAAAGTTTGCCAGCCACTATCAGTAATGTTAAAACCTGGAGATTCTCGTAAGTACACAGCACCAGCTAAATGAATACATTTACAGTTTTTTAACCATTTATGTTGGTATGCCAACCTTTGTATCTTGGCTCTAACTAGTTCCCGAAACTTGTGTGATTTTCGGGAGCCACTTAGAATGTGTTTTGATGTATGGTATTTGCGCCCATAGGCAAATGGTTGAAGGTATTATGTTTTCGTCACATGCCTTTTTTAAATAATGAGATTTAGTAATTTGTAGAGCAAGAGCATCGAGGTGGTCAGTACGTGTGCCTCATTTCCAAAGTTCCTATTTTTTTATCGGGTCCATGTAACTGTGATTCAGATTTAGATTTTGAGTGCTATCAATTTTAAAAGCAGAAAACAAATGTGAGCACAGTCAAAATGCTAGACTTTGCATGATTCCATAGAATGCAAATCACTAATAAAGTGTAGTATGTCATCTGTGTCATAAAAATATCAAATTTTGACTTTTATATCACTTGTGTTTTGCAGTCCTCATGGCAAACGAGTTGTGGACCATGTCATACAAACCAATAGGAGAAGAACCGGTCATTGCTATTGGAGCTACAGGGTCAACATTTTAATTAAACGAGTAGTTACTTTAGTAGCCTATAACGAAATGTGTAGTGTTATTAATTGTAGAATATAGAAAATAAATTACAGTGTTCATTGATATTATGTGTGGTATATATATTTTTTAAGGCATTTTCCTTGAAAAACTTCTATGATTTCGTTTTCGAACCCAATGGTTTGGGTCCCCATTTCCAAGCCCATCCCTTTTGGGCCGTTACGCAGGTTATCATGGAATGGCTAACTTACAAATTAAGTTGGAATATTTAGTATGCAGGGTTTTGCGAAGGGAGGAGAACCTTACCCYAGATACCTCGGGGGGGAAAGAAGTAAAGTATCAGACTTATCTAGCTAGCTCTGCAGCAGAAGCTCGCAAATTACGCAACGTTTACAATACGTAATAACACTTAGGGCAGCTACGAAGTTAGTCTCCTCAGCAGACGTTGGAAGGGAGTTTCCGAACCGACACTAAAACGGCTGCAAAGGAGACTACCACGCAGTTTACATGGCATAAGATCCAAGCCAGGGCATAGCGGTGAGAGGCCTCGTGATTCCACCCCAAAGTGATGGAGTGGGAAAAATCTGTCTGCAACCACCATGTTATTTTCCTACATTTTCAAAAGTGTAAATTGAGTTGGGAAAATAGAAACAAAAGAACAGTTGTAACGATAAAAGAGTTTACACGGGTATGGTGACAGACTCTGATTTGTGGCCGAAAAAAAAAATTTGGAATTTAATAAAAGTCGCATGACCTTAACCATATTATGAAAAATAAGATACAACTTAAAACAAAAGAGAAGAAAGAAAAGACACTAAACAAAGAAAAAAACGAAATACGCTGGGAATATTTTTAAAAGCGCACATGACTGAATTTCAAAGTAACTAATAAAAACGATAGAATAATTAGAAAATGTGTTTAAGGGCAGAAAAGCATATAATTTATAGCTTGAAATTTATGAATGCAAAATTTTACTGCTGTAACTAAAAATATGAGACCCCGTCCACACTGTCAAAATAATTTTGAAAACTCCAATTTTTTTGGCGGATTGCGGTGAATACGCAACTTTTTGAAAACAGGTAGGTGTGGACGGGCGATTCGAAAAGACGCCGCGTCTGGACGTAAATCTTTTCGCAAGCGGAATTAAGAAATCCCGTCGAAAACAAGTGACGGGTTTCAGCTGGTGCAAGACAATCGGCTGGTCTTTATCTATGACGTGTCCTTATCTCCAATGTTCACGTCGCGTGACGAAGAATAAAAGAAACTACATTTCACCACAGAAGCCCCGAGAAAGTTAACAAGGTTATTTCTGCGTGATTTTCTTCAATCAAAATGAGGCAGCTACCAGGAAAAACGAAAAAGGAGAACCGACAGATGAAAAGGGAGCGAAAAAAGGATAACTTAGATGGCAAGAAGAGGGCCTTGAAGATTGCTATACCAGTATTTGTGGGACTCTTTGGATTACTAGTTTTCTACGTATACAAAGCTACCAGTAAATTCTGAAACGATTAATGTGGATTTCTGCTAGATAAAAGAAGATTGAATGACAATGTACTTCTTCATACTGTGGATTCAAGAATTATACAAGGATTAACAAGAATTTTGAATTTTTTATTGCGATGGAGTGAAGAATCGAGCCGACTCAAGGGTTGTTGTTTTTAAAAACGTCTACAGAACAGAAAGAATGGCAATCGTTACTGATAACGGAATAGGCATCTCTATCAACAAGAAATGTAAATAAGACAATACGTAATGAAATTCCATTAAAAAGTAAAGCAAATTTAAGTATTGCTGTGTTTTCAGGTAATCATAATTGTAGTAGGTCATGTCTCATGTCATGTCCCCACTGAAAGTGCAAATATCAAAGAAAAATTAAAATTTCACGTAGCTATTGTTTAATCTTTTTGCTGAATTATCTTATCTTATTGAAATGGATGATTATACAAGGGATGGACCATTAGATAATTGATGAAGGGGGGGGGGG